ACAAAAAGACAACAACTTGTCTGTTCCCCTTCCCCCAATTCCCCAGCACTGTTCCCATCCCCCCAATTCCCCAATAAAAATCTTTAAAAACAAAACAAAACAAAACAAAAAAACCCAACTAATTACAGAAAATGTGAACCAAAGATTTTATATCTAGCCAAGCTGTCCTCCAAGTAAACAACTTTCAAATAAAGAGCCCAAGGCAGGGGTGGGGGTGGGTGGGGGTGTTTCTGAAGCCATGATCCCTTCTTGAGGAATCAATGGGGAAGATGAGTTTCATGGAGCTAAGAAGTGACTAGATAATTTCACCAAAGAGACTGAGGGTGAGTGTGTGTATACACACGAAGAACAAATGTGGGCGTGAGGATGGATGACTAGAGGACAAATTTTTACAAGGTAGAAATTTGCAACTGAAAAAAATGGGAGAAAAGAGAAAGAGGAAGATAGTAATCTCACTGATGGTTATAGGGCAGTGACGAGGGGAGTAAAAGAATATCAGTAAAAATAGAAAAAAACAGATATTAAAATGTTAAACAATAAAAGAAGGGACTGGGGCATTAAAATAGTTTAGGAGCACAAAGGTAACAACTAGGATAAAATTTTACCTTTTCTAAGTAAAAAAAAACCAACAAAAAACTAAACAGCATAGACTACACATTTCGTAAAAAAAGAAACAGCAAATATAACAAAATACCCACAACTGCAAAATACTCTGACAGAGGTGAGACTCAACATATCAGTCACATCAATAAATATGGATGAACTTAACTCACCTATTAAAAGAAAAAGATTTTCAATTTGGGTCACAAATCAAGACCAAACTATATGCTGTATATAAGATGACACCTAAAACAAATGGATCCTGAAATGTTAAAATGAAAGGATGGATAAATGCATACTGGAAAAATGGGAAAAAATAAGAAAGTGAAGGTAGTGATCCTGATAACGGACAGAGTGGAATTCCAGCCCAAAGCTTTGAATGTGATAAGGCAGAACACCTTCTAATGCTAAAAGTCATAATTCATAAAGAAGGTATAACACTTACGAATATGTATGCACCGAATAACATGGCAACCACCGTTAGGAAGTAAAAACTACGAGAGATGGAAGGAGACATTGACAGAAACACATTAATAATAGGAGACTTTAACACGCCACTCTCAGTACAAGACAGATCAAAGTGGACATAAATTAAGGATGTAGAAAACCTAAATACAACCAATAAAGTAAATCTTGTGGCTATACATAAAACTCTACACCTGATAGCAGATGCCTCTCAAGTGCCCACAGAATGAACATTCACAAAAGTTGAAAAGATCAGTCCACTTTTATAAAGCAGAAATGTTACACATGACATTCTTTGAACACAATTCAATAAAACTAAAAATTACTAACCAAACAAAAGAGCCCTTCCACTTGGAAGTTAGAAATCTTTCTGGAGACAAGTTTCTGGTGGCGGGGGCTTTCGGGAGGTCTCTAGTGTTGGCTTCTTATTGTTCAGCGGAACGGAAGCAAGGCTGGCCGCTGAGTGTGCGGAGTGGGCAGAGGTGTTGGAGCCGGGTGGCCCGGAGAAGTGCAGCTGGTTGCAGCAGCACTGAGGGTCGTGCAGGTATGTGGTTGGACATTTACAATGTGGTGGTGTGCTTTTTCCTGTATAAATAAGGCTGCGCCGATGCAGGTGTGAAGTGGGGGAGCCAGGTTTTCCCAGAGATGGGTTTTGCCAGCTGAGTATGACAGAGGGGACGAGGGACTTGGGATGCGTTTAGGGAGGGACTGTAACTTTGGAAGGTGGGATCTACGCTGGCAAGGAGGGAGATGGGGACAGGTAAGGGACGGAGAGAAGGTGGGTGGGGCAGTGGACTGGAGTTCCTGGAGGACAGAGGCTTGTTGGGGTGCCAGCGGGAGTGAGCTGTGAAGGTGGGGGGTGTTTGGAAGTGTGAGAGGTGCTTGAAATCGGAGATGACCGAGGCGAGTGGGGGACTGTGGGTGGACGGCAGAAGGAGGATGGAGGACAGGATTGCAGCGGGAGAGGAGAACCAGGTTCTGAGAAGTGAGGGAAACGGTGAAATCGCCAAGATCAAAATGGAGGGGTGAGTGAGAGGGTGCCTGTGAGCAGGAGCTAGATCTTGAAGGACTGAGGGGTGACCGAGGGCTGGAGTGGGGTGGAAGGCTGGCAGGTGGTGCAGACGGAGGACCGGGGTTCAGAGCTGAGATTTGCCAGAGGAAGAGGACTCTAGCCCGCCCCTAGGCTCAGGGCTGAGGGGAAAGCCGGCCCCACCCGCGAGGGCTGTGCTAGCCACTGGGGAGCAGATAGGAGGAAGGGGGGGTCCTTGGAGGAGCAGGAAGGGTAACGAGGCTCTGTTGTTGGCACCCAGGGTCCTGGCCCCCCCTCCATCAGATGACAGGTGGTGGAGGCGGGGCAGGGGGGTTTTATGTGGAATACAATAGGATGAAGGGGGAGCAGTGCGTCTCCAGGGCGTACCCCAGGATGTACGCAATAAAAGAGCAGGTCGGGGGCCCCCTTTCTGCACCCAGCCCTGTGGGGGTTCAAGTGGGCTGGGAGGGAACAGCTGGAGGCCAGAGTTGAGGGTGGAGGCCCTGCCCCCTGCCTGGGGGAGGGTAGACAGAGGGGGCAGTGAGGGCACCTGTTCAGGGGGACGGAGACGTCCAGGAAGGTGGCCACAAGCTCGGCAGTGTGGTTCCGGGCCAGCAGGGTGATGGCGCGGAGGGCTTTTTCCTGCGCTTGGGGGACGCGGCCACAGCGGAGCTGCAGGTGGATGGCCCGGCCTAGGTTGGCAACCTGTGCGGGGAGAAGCATGTCGGGCAGAGGGCCGGGCTGAAGGGCGAGGCCAGGCCCCCTCCTGTGAGCCTGCTGGGGCGGGTCCTGCCCCGGTGCGCGGGGATGCCCTTCAGCCGGGGTCCTCTCCTGAGGGGAACGTCTGAGGGAGGAGGCACAGCCCTGCCCTGGACGCCTGATCAGAAGGGGAGTCCCAGTCCGAGAGGGAGGCAGTGCCACTACTTTTCGCATGGCATTTGAGGTCTCCCAACTCTGTCCAAATGTTTCCCAGTCATTGGACCAGTCAGACGCACCCACCTCATCTCCTGAACACACCATTGGCACATGCTGTCCCCCGCGCCTGGAATGCCCTGCCCCTTCCACTTTTGGGTCCCTCTCACTCATCCATTCATGCCAATCCAGTGTCACCCACCTGAGGCCTCCTTGTCTACAGGACTTGGCCTTAGTCACCCCCTTTCTGGGGGCACCGTCCTTTGCCTCTGCATTTCCTGTGCTGTCCAGTCCTTATCTGTCTGGTGTCTGTCACCTCCGCTGCACCGAGAGCTCCTGCAGAGTCAGGGCCATGCCCCCACCTTCCCCATTTCAATCAATACACGTTTGCCCCATGAGCCTGCAAACGCCAGCCAGGGCCCCAGCATGCCTGCTTGGGCCATCCCTCATTCATTCATTCACTGGAGCCCATCAGGGTGGGGTCTGTGTCTCCCCCCTCAGGCTCAAGCTCAGGGACGCCGCCCCTTGGGTGCTGCCTGCTGGGCCATCCCTCTGACCCCTGCCCCACCTTGGCGGACCTCAGGGGTCCCCCAGGCCCCTCACAGTCTCTAGCTTGGCCCCGTGCTCCTGGACGACAGTGAGCACCATGTTGGCGGCTGCCTGCACGTGGAAGGTGCTGCTGGAGTCCAGGCCGTCGATGGCCGTCCAGGTGACGTCGGTCAGCTCTGCCACCGTGAGATGCTTCATGACCTCCTGTAGCAGCGGGAGTGGGGCAGCCATCACCTCGGGTCACCTGTGCCCCGGCGCCCCCTCCCACCTTTGCTCTTACTCCTTTGCTCCAGGCGCCCCAAGTCTCCTGAACCTCACTCCTCCAGGTCCCCCAACATGTGTACCCCATTTTGCAGTCTAATCGCCTGCACATCTGTCTGAGCTGACCAAAGCCCAGGGACCAGGAAGGGAGAGTGTGACGCCCATCGCTGGGCGGGACACAGCCCCCTTTCTCATGCTTGTCCCAGGACCCCCGTGGCCTGGCCAGCCTCCTGTCCTCCCCTCCTCTGCCCTGTCCTCACCTCATGGGCTTCCTCATCTGCTAGCCTCAGCCCAGCCGGGCGCTTCCCTCGCTAGGCCCCAGTTCTCCACCTTACAGAGTTTTCATCAAGAGCATATGAATGTCAGAGCTGTGAAAGATCTTCACGGTTACCTGGACTAACCCCAAGGCCTGAGGAGGTGAGTGAGCCACCCTCACCATGTGTCAGGTGGGGCAGGGAGGGGCTAGGCTGGTCTGGAACCCAGGGCTCCTGTCCCACGGTGGGGCCTCCCCAGGAGCCTGGCCCTGCTCTCTGTCCACATTCTCCTAGGAGCAGCTCTAGCAGTTCGGGGAGGTGGCTGTCCCCTTCCACCCCAGACCATGAGCTACTCGGGGTAATGAAGAGGCTCTCAGGGAAATGAAAAATGACGGGTGGGATCCCTGCTCATCAGTCTCTGACCACAATCTCTGAGAGGGAAGGCGGGGCAGCATGGGGCCACCCAGGTAGAACCTTCTGGAAAGACTTAGAGCATCATTGCCCAATATGGTAGCCACTAGCTACACATAGCTATTTAAACTTAATTAAGAAAAATTAAAAATGTAGTTCCTCAGTTGACTAGCCACGTTTCAAGTGCTCATAGCCACAAGTGGCCAGAGGCTGCCTTGGATGGTGCAGCTATAGACACTTCCACCCTCCCAGAAAGTTCTGTAGGGAGGCCCTGACTCAGAGCATCTGATAATAAGAGGAAGATAGAATGCTGGTGATGGAAGGATAGGAAGCCTGATAGAAAATTATGTTTGCAAGGATATTAAAGATGATAAAGAGTTACTATATCTGTTGAAATGTTCGAAAGTCTGTTTGTATGTATATTAGATATAAAAATAAGTGCTAAATAATGTGCATTAGAATATTTATTAAATCTTATTCTAACATTTTGGTAAAATTTTTGTGAGAATGTTAGGTTGTTAGTTGTTTGTTAGAATGTTAAAATAATTTCAGTGGAATATTTGCAGTTTATAATAACTTTTAAAAAAGAATTTAGGCTATTACAAATCTGGTTAGAACATTTGTTAGAAGGTTAAATTTAAAATTGCTTTCTAAAATGTTAAACTTTGGTTGAAGTTCTGGTATTTAGAATGTTTGTGAAGAAATTCAACTTGGAATGGTACTTAGATTCTCAGAATCCTAGAATACTACAATCTCAAGGTTGGTAAATACTTTTGAGATGTCTTAGTTTAACCCAGGGCACGAATAAATATAAGATAGAGGTGGCAGTGATGGTAGAATATGTGGTGGTGATGGTGGTGGTGATGATGGTAGTAGTGATGGTGAAGATGGTGATGATGGTAGTTTTGGTGGCAGTGATGGTGGCGGTGATGGTGGTGGTGATGGTGGCGGTGATGGTGGCGGTGATGGTGGCGGTGATGGTGGCGGTGATGGTGGTGGTGATGGTGGGGGTGATGGTGGCGGTGATGGTGGGGGTGATGGTGGTGGTGATGGTGGTGGTGATGGTGGTGGTGATGGTGGGGGTGATGGTGGGGGTGATGTTGATGAAGGTGTAGTGTATCCAGACCACATGAGGAATCAAGGACAAACTTGGGAATAGAACCCAGGCCTGTTCTCCATCCCAAACCTTCCTAGATCTACCATCCATTGATGTGCATACCCTTCCATCCTCTCCCCTCCCTGTGCTCCTGTCTGCCACTGTCTCTTGGCCAGTGAGGGCCAGAGCTGAACACCCACTTCCTGTGGTCAGGGACGGCACAGGGTGGGACCGGCTGCCCGTTCCCAGGCACTATGCTCCCAGTCACTCAGCTGCCCCGAGGGCCTGAATGCTCTGGGGTCCCTTCACCACTGGTCCCCACTGAGCTGCCTTCCAGCCCTGCCTCTGCCCCCAGTCCAGGTTCTTTGGCATAAACTGAAGCCAAGCTAGGTTTTCCCATGTGGGCCTGGACAATTGATATATTGGCCTCAGGGCTTCAGGTTTTCTGTACTAAATTTCTGATCAGCCTCAGCACTGACAGCTTGCTGCAGCTGCAGAGAGCACGGGTTCTGGAGTCAGCCAGGACCAGATTCAGAACCCCTGGGCCCTTAGTAGCTGTGTGCCATCACTTCATCATCATTTGGTTCAATTTGGTTCAACTTAGTGGGTGTTAACTGAAGGCTGGCTGTCCCACCAGGTCCTGTGCTGGGCGCTGGAGGGACCCAGCTTGTGGCCTGGAGCACTCAAGGTCTCGCGATGGGAATTGACAAGCACACCAAGTACAGGGTCTGCATTAGCTGTAGGTTCAACACCAAGAATAGGCAAGCTGAAGCCACCATGTCGGGGACATCATGAACTGACCACTCAGAACATGAGGCGCCATGCAACACTCCCCGTTCAGTCTGCGCCAGCATCCAGCCCACACCCTGAGCTCAGCCTCGCCCATCTTCAGAAGGAAGCAATTCAAATCAGGTACGAAATGCCACAAAGATACAGGATTTCACTATAGTAATGAAAGGAACATTGGGGAACTGCTGGACTCCCCCAAGCCATTGGCCAAGGAGGAGCTGGCCACGGTAGACCAGTTGACAGCAGGAGAGGGGCGTCAGTCATGCCATGCCTTTAGAGGAGGAGGTTTGGCTTTCAGAGTATTAATAGAGGCCCCTGGGAACATGAGGAGGGTGGGAATATTTCGGCAGAGTGGTCCTCCCACAAAAATCAGACTCAAAAGGAGGGACGTCCTATGGTGCCTCAGAGAACACCTACCATGGCAGCCACCCTGAGATCGCCATTTATTGGGTGCGGATGGCACTATCACTCTGCCCATTTTACAGAGGAAGACTGAGGCTCAGGTCACACAGCAGTGAGAGACAGAGCAGGGCCTCAACCTTGGGCTGCTGACCTCAAAGTCTGTCCCCAGTCCCTCTCTCCAATTTCCCCTCCCCCAACTCCCCTGTCCCAGGCCAGGGGCTTCTCCAAACTCTCTCAGTTAATCACCAAAGATGGAGGCGAGATCAGCCTTGGTTTTTTTTTTTTTTTTTTTTTTTTTTTTTTTTTTTTTTTTTTTTTTTTTTTTTTAGCTGAGCCATCCCGCCACCTGTTGGCAGCTCACGGCTACTCAGCTCGGGCTGACTCGAACCGCTGTTGCTCAGAGCTCAAACTCTTGAGCGAGCTCTTAACCAACTGAGCCACTCAGCCGGCCCCAGCCTTGGTTTTAATACTCAGTGTGGCGCTGAACCCCTGGGTTCAGCCAGGACACATCAGCAGCTGAAACCCTGTCAGAGGGGGCGGCGGTGGGGGTCAGAGCAGAGGACGGCCACATCCCCCTAGCCAGACCTGCCCACAAGTCTAAAGGCACCATTTGACCTTGATGACTTGGGAGCTGCCAAGCTGGAAGATTCGGTCCTTCGGGAATGCCACCTTCTGGGGGGTGGGGAGAGTGTCTTTCTGGTCCCCGCTGCTCCAGAGGGGGTCTTCATCCTCGCTGGCCTGGAAAAGCGGCTCCGGCACCAGTGCTTCCACCCTCAAAGCTTCTGCTGGCCAGGGGCGGCATTGGGCAGGGGTGAGCGTGGCGCAAAGACAGGCTTGGGGTCTACGTTGGGACAGGGTGAGGTCACTGGTAATCAGGGTTAGCCCCGTGCCCAAGTTTGGGGATGGGACTCAGAGAGCGGTTCTGGGGGGTCCAGGCGAGGCCAGCTCAGGGCTATGGCTGAGGTTAGAGGTGGATTTGGGGGGCAGCCTGGGGGAGGGAGTTGCGTTCAGGAGTGCTGGTGTGGGTTCAGCGGAGGCTGTGGGTCTGCCATGGTGGCCTGCGGGGGCTCACCTCTGTGGCGCAGCAGGAGCTGGTAGAGATGGCCCAACCCCTGCAGGCTAGAGAGCTGGGTGGCCCTGTCGGGGTCCTGGCACAGAATCCCCAGCACACCCATCAGCTGCCCGATCTGTTTGAAGTCCTCTTTTGGCTGTGGCAAGAATGTAGGGGAACCACTGATGGCAGAACTGACCCGCGGAGCCCCCACCCGAGCACAGTCAGCATCAGAGTGGATCCCCTCAAATTGTGTGGAAGGGCTTGGATTCGGGTTTGGGCAACATTTAAGGGGTGGCTAAAAAACTCAGAAATCAAGAGAAATAATATGTTCATGTGATATTTAGAAAATGAATGGAAAAAAAAATCCATGGCAAACAGAGTCTCAAAATTATAAACCAGGACAGCACCCCACCCTGTTTCCATGACTGTCTCACCCTAATCCCAGACCTGGTTCCAAACAAACTGTACTTCCAACAGGTGGCCAGCCATGGGCCATGTTTCGCAAGTTGATTGTTGAAAACACCACATTAAAATAGCATCGATCTTTTGCAGTGTTTTGGCACCCCCATAACTGTTGCGCCCAAGGCGAGTGCCTCACTCCCCTCACCCTAGTCGCAGCTCTGTGCTGTGCCACGGAAGCCACTTGGAACCCCTCTAGAGGGGTTCTGCTCGTCACAGGAAAGCTAGAGTCTGTGCCGTGAGCTTTCCCTTGCAGAGCAGTCCCTTGTCCCCAACACCACAGCCTTTCCCCGTCATTAGAAAGGCATGTCCGCCAGGCATCAGGCTGAGGAACTAATTTCCTCATCTCCCCATGGAATTAATGAGGCTCCCTAAGGAATGAATGCTGATTTTGGCTGATAAACGCAGAGCCACTCTCTCCCTGAACACCTGCTGGTGTTCATTCAACCCAGGGGTGACAGCAACAGATGGAGGTTAAGCTGGGAGCCATGAGCCCACGGGGGTCGGGATGGATAGAAGGCTGTGGGCATGGATGGAGGGCAGTGGGATAGTGGGTGCCCCACGCAGTGACCGCTCACCCTCGTCTGGGGCAGGATTACCTGGTTGGGCGCAGGGCACTCAGGGGGGCACCCTATCCTGGTGGCAGGGGCCCAGGGGGCCTTGAACCTGTGAACCCTGGCACGCTCTGGGAGGAGGGTGGCTGGGCTGGGACAGCAGAGGATTATGGGGCATGGGGCCAGTGAGCCAGGTACTCACGTCCAGGTAGTGGTTGTGGGTCAGGAATTTGAGGAGGGCGGTGCAGGCGTGCGCAGCCCGCCGCCGTTCGTGCGCCTTCTCTGACGCCAGCCAGATGTACATGTGCTGTGCGGGCAGGAAGAGGTGCTGTCGGGTGCGCCCCAGCTCTGGCCCGGCTCCGCCCACCCTTGGCTCAAGCTCCGCCCCCTCGACCTCTACCATTCCAGGGTCAGCCTTTCCAGGCCCTTCTCACAGCCTTTGCGAATCCCTGTGACCCAGGCAGCCCCTCCACGAGAGGAATCTTTTCCTCCTTTTGTAGCTGAACCCCCGCTGCTGCTCAAAGCCCTTTGAGGCTCCTCCTGGTTCTTAACCTGTCATGCGACACGCCCCTTTCCGGAACAATGCTTTTCCGTGCACAACATACATGCACACAATTACAAAGGAATAGCAAGGCGCAGGAAACCGGTATGGTGAACAGTTTTAAGTCAAATTTGAGTCTCTTTGTTAAGGCGACATATGACTAGAGTAGTGACTCTGAAGTCGGAGGAGGGTAAACGGTATTTGGAGATTCTGTGACCCAGTGATGTCCTGTGGCATCTGTGACTCCCGTTGGTGGCAGGCAGCCCCTCTGGCACTGCTGTGGTTTGTCACCAACGTTCCCAGAGGAGGAACGTGCTACTTTGTAGCTCAAGGGGAAGGAAAGTGCAGATGACATTTCTTCCCAGCCGAGCTCGCACACCCCGACTTCCACCTGTGCCCCCCAGGTCAGGGCCCCCTGCTTCAGCAGCTCCCTTCGCCTCCAGGAATCTCCCCGCCTGCTGCGGTCTGGCCCCTGCTGACCTGTCCTCCCCTTGTTCTCCCCGCCCACCTTAGCGCTCTGGCCACAGCCGCTCTCCATTCCGGCTCACTTTGCCCCTGTGCACCCTCATGTGGGGAAGCCCTGACCTCCATCCGACCCTTCCACCACAGCCAGCCTCCCTGTCTGGGCCCTGCCCTGCTCCTGGATACTGTCACTACCTGGTGACTGGTCTCCTTCTTGCAAGGGAGAGCCCCTGGAGGGCAGGTGAGAGTGGGGGTGGCGGGCTCATGAGACCCCCTCCCGGCTGGGGACACTGCTGCAGGGGAAGTTCTCTGGTGGGTGGGAGGGCAGATCCTGGCCAGGGCCACAGCCCATTTTGTCACCAGCTCCCTTTCGTGTGGCATTTGAAGCCCATTTACCACCAGGCTGCACCTGCCGCCTGTGCCCCTCCTCGCCGCTAGTTGTCCCAAATCACTGTAATCCCTAAAGCGTCAGCCCTCAAGCCTCCCGGGCCACTCCCTGCCCCACCTCAGGCTCTGACTCGTCTGGGACATCCTCCTTTGACCACCCTCGGGCCCAGCCCTGCCACTGCCACCCCCGCCCTCACCGACAGCAGGAATTGCAGCTCGTCCGCTGTGGGGTTCTGCGTGATGAAGGTCTGCAGCATCTTGTCCAGTGCCTCAGAGGTCTTGCTGTAGAGGGTCTGTGTGGGGACGAGGAACCGATCAGGGGGCCGCAAGCCCTGGTGGGTGGGACAGAGTGCTGAGACCTGCGCGGGCTGAGGGCACCGGTCTCTCGGTGCTAGTGGTGCCCACTTCCTGCAGACCCCCAGGTCAGGCTGCCCACCAGAGAGCTCACACGTGCTCAGGAAGGGTCTCGTCAGATCCCTATTTGGCAGATGGGGAGACTGGGCAGAAGGGTTGTCTGGGACTGCCCAAGGGAACAGGTTTCTCAGCGGCCGAGACAAGTTCATTTCCAGTAGGGCTGGCTTCATGAGCTGCAGCCTGCACAGGACCTGGCCTCAGAGGGCGCTGTACATGCTCCATTTGATGCTCTGCTGTCGCCATCTTAAGTTCCTAATAGGTTTTAAATCCCACATTTTCATTTTGCACTGGTCCCGGCAAACGATGCAGCTGGTTCCAATTCTTGGGTCTCATACACGAGGCCCCCAATCTTTACTGCTTGGCTCGCCGGGTATGCTCAGGGAGCGGGCGTGCACAGGGATGCCCAGCCCACCTCCCGTCAGAGCCCATTGGAGCAGAGCCCGGGGGCACTGGCCATCACCTTCCTGGGTGCTCTGGGGAGCTCACTTCAGCTCTCTGAGCCCACTTCTGTAAACTGAGAGCCTGGCGTGGAGGTGGACACTAGGTGGCAGTGAACAGGCTCCCCAGCCCAGTGCCTGACACTGGGTCACGCTCTCTGGTTGGGCTAGTGTGATGTTATTACCTGGGAATGGGGGCACTCTGGACTCCTCTGGGATTGGGGTGTAGGAAGACGCCACCCTCCTGGTGCTGCCCTGGGCCCAGGGGAGCCCTTGTGCACTCACTCTCACCCAAAGTGCTTATTTTTCCAGTTCCAGCCTGAACCCAGCCTTAGGGTACGGCGTGAAGAGCGGGGAAGGGCTGGGGTTAAACCCTGACTTTGCCACCAGACACCTCCGTTTCTCGGAGCTGACTTTCTCACCCTCTGGACAAGTTGCTGCTGGGCAGGTGAGCTAACGAATATATAGGGCCGGCACACAGCAGGTGCCCTGTTAACACCAGGTCCCTCTCCGGCCATGGACAGCAGGCCAAGCTGGATACCCTGGCTGAGGGCCCCTCTCGGAGAAGGGGCGCAGGGACCGGGTTCGCACCTGCACGTTGGGCGGCTCCAGAAAGAGGCAGGCGTGTTTCTCCAGGACATCCAGCAGTGGCAGGGCCAGCACGCTGTGGAGGCAGATGGACAGGAGCCGTGACTTCTTCTCCGAGTCCAGGGCTGGCCTCAGCTTACTGTTTAGGGAACAGAGGGCGGTGATGGAGGGGCGCAGGGGCTGGGGGTATGAAGGGACCACCTGCCAGGATAGACAGGAGCAGGTGAGCCCTGAGCAGCGGCCCCTCCTGGGACTCAGGCATCACCTCCCCTCTCACCTTCCTGCTTTGACCTGGCACTCGTGTGTACATTTCTGCCTCCCCAGCCTTCCCCTCTGCAGCCTGTGTCAGGCCTCCTGTGCAGGCAACTTCCCCGGGGGTTTGTAAGGGACTTGTCAGCCTGGCTGGGGGCAGGGTCTCGCGGAGCCCTGCACCCTGGGCTCCCCGTTACTGGGCAGACTGGTCTCGCCCCAGCCCTGGTTACACCTTGGGATTTGGATGTGGTCTGCCTGCTCTGGGTAGGCCTGGCCAGCCCCACCTGCCCCCTGCCCAGTGCAGTGCTGGGCTGCAGGATTCTTGGCTGCTGCCTGCACTGTCCCTCAGCAGTCGGAGAGCAGGCAGCTCTGAGCTCCCTGGGCGCCCACTTCCTAGTCAGCCTCACCTGTCCTGGCCAAGGTAGGGACGCCAGGTACCCTCTTGCCCCGCCTGTAGGTAGACGGCTAAATCAGGACCTGCCTGCCGCCTGCACTGGGGTCCCCGAGCCTGTTGGATTCTAGCCTTCCTCCCTTCCATGGGATGTTGGCTGGAGTCTAGACCCAGTTTCCCTTTGCTCTCCCTTCCCCAACTGCCAGAGCCTGCTCTAGACTGCCTGTGGCTGGGAGCTCGCCCTGAGTGACTGCATTGACCTTGAGTGTCTGGCGGGAGGGGGTTCAGCTCATGCTGGGGAGTGGCTGTGCCCCCAGTCCAAATGCGCTGGCCGCTATGAGCTGCCCATCCTCAGCCACCATGGCCACCTTAGCCCTGCCCAGTGGGGCCTTGACGTCTGGCCTCTCCCTGCCCTGCTGCCTTGTTGGTACCACTACTCCTGACCTTATAGGCTGCTGTTTGATGCTGGGGAAGGCCCGGGGTGGGGCCGTGGAGCCTACCAGAGGCTGGAGATGATGTGGATGGTCTGCTCGCGAGTCGACGAGCACAGCGAGTCCGGGGGTTCCTTCTCCATCAAAGCCTGCAGATGCCCGGGTGAAGGGTGGGTCACTCCTGCGGGGCCTAGTCCACTCCGGACACCAACTCTCGTCTCTGCCTGAAGACCTCAGTGCCTGGCACCCGCGTGACCCCCAGGATTATGCTCTAGCTCCTCACCCACCCAGGGGTGGGGTGGGCTCTGTGACCTGGCCCCCACTTAGAGAACTAGAGCGTGGACTGTAGAACCAGGCAGGTCGTGTCTGAATCCTGGGTATGCACATACTAGCGGCATGACCTTGGGTGAACTCCGGCTGCTCTGAGCTTCGTTTATTCGCTGATAACATGGCTTTGTTGCACACGTGTTTTGCGTGAAGCAAAGAGAGTAAAGCGCAGTGTCTGGGTCACAGCAGGAGCTCAGAGAGTGGGAACTGCTGTTATTATTGTTACTTTTGTAATTGTACTCGTGTTTCCTCCATCACCTGTGGGTTCTGTGAGGCCACAGTCCCTAGTAGCCAGTGGTCTGAGCTAGGTCAGTACAAGCAGAATGGGTGGTGATAGCCCTTCTGGGTCTCAGCCACGTCACCTGTGAGGGGGTTGTACCTGGGCAGCTCAAGTGAAGTGGGGGACAGAGGTGTGTTTCCAGATGCGAGAGCCCGGGAGGGGCTTGCAGTGCTCTAGAAATCCAACGGCCCACCCCTTTCTCAGCGGGTGCCTCTCAGGAGTGCTGCTGGTCCGAGGGAGGGGCCCCCTGCAGCCCTTCCTCTGCCCCAGGACCTTGTGCTCACCATCAGACATTCGAAGAGCTGGGAGAGCTGGGAGAACTCGTAGCTGTGGGCACCCTCACTGCGGCTGACGGCCCCCACCAGCATGAGGATGGCCGTGAGGAAGCTCTGCTTCAGGGTCTCGTCCTGGCATGGGGTCAGGCGGAGGAGCGAGGGCACAGGAGGGGTGGGAGAGAGTGACAGCCTCGGTCACATGCGGCGGCACGGCCACTGCTGAGCGAGACAGGGTGGCCCCGCCCTGGGGGGCGGACATACCCAGGAGCTGCAGTGGAAATAGAAGATCATGCGTGACAAGACGTTGTCCACCCACGGGAGGATGTGGGCCTTGGCCTTGGCCGCCATCTGACCATAGGCGAGGAGGATGGTGCTGGTGGCCCACTTCCATCGCAGGTCCTTTGAAGTCTGAGCCGGGTGGGGCAGGTAAGGAGGATCAGGGCCCTGCTGGAGCCCAGCCCTGGGGGACTGGTGACCGGAGGGACCCCAGGTCCTAGCAGGATACTGGGGGCAGGGTGTTCTGAGGGGTGGCGGGCCTCCATTTACTTCAGTAGGAAAAGGGAAAATGTTTCTGTCCCCAGGGGTTACCCGGGGTGCAGTGAGGATGGGGTGGCTGTTCCCTCCATCTGCAGGGACACAGGCCCTTGTCTTATGTTTCAGATGAGGCACATAGTCAAAGAGCTGCTAGTAAACACGCAGGTGCCACCACAGCCACACCTGGACCTGTCACAGAGCGCTTCCCGGCACGGCTCATTCTAACCCCAACAGTTGGGGAGGGAGGAAACTGAGGCACAGGGGTTCACCCTGCAGGTGGGTGCAGAGGTGGAACTGAACTGGAGGCCAGGACACGTGGTGCAAAGCATGCGCCCCTAACTTACCCAGGAGACCCCACTGGGAGGCTCAGACCTTCCTGGAGGGCGGCGGCCCAGGCATCCCAGCCCCTTGCTGAGGCCCTGAGGACCCCAGAGCCAGTACCTTTGGGGAGAAGCTGTGAAGGCTCCTCTTGATGGGTGCGCTCTGGCCAAACTGCTCCAGGATGGCCCACACGTGGTCCAGGTGGCGGGCTGCGGCCAGCCCCACGGTGAGAGCAATGCCCTAGGGGCGAGGGAGCAGCGTCGCTACGTGGGATCCCAGGACCAGGCCTGGCCCTTCACTGGGGGTGTGGAAACTGAAGCCAGAAAGGGAGGGGACTTGTCCGAGGTCACAGACGTCTGTCTCCCACCCCCACACTCTTTAAGACATGCAACCCTGAGCAAAACCCTGTGGAGTTTCTCTTATGGGGTCTGGAGGGTGGGGTGGGGTGGGGGCGCGGCAGGGAGTGCCTACTCCCTAGAGGCCTGTTATCCCCTCCACTCGCCAGCTCTGAGCAGACCTGGGCCAGAGGTAGGAACAGGGGTCCAGGAAATAAAGGACCCAAGCTGTGATGGGCTCAGTCTGTGATGGGGCAGGGCTCAGAGTGTGACCAGGTTCAGGGCTCAGCCTGTGGTCAGGGTCAGTCTGTTTTGGGATGGGCTGAGGGCTGGGTCCTCACCTCCCTCTGCTTGGACCACTGGTGGGACGTCTCCAGGAGGCTTTGCAGGTGTGTCCGGACCATGGCGCTGTTCTCCTCAGCTTGAAGGATCAGCCCATAGTAGACGAACAGGAAGGCCTGGGGGTGGTGGTTCAGCTTCCTGTCCTGAGCCTGACCCATCACTGTCCATCCCTGTCCACCTGGATGGCCTGCTGCTCCCCCTGACCAGGCCCCCTGGGTCCCCCAGGGCTCCTGCAGCTGCCCTGGCCCCACCCCTCTGTTTCTTTCAGGTGCACCAGTTTCTTTCTAAGGCCCTGGGCCTTGCTTCAGGTGTGCATCCTATGGACAGGCAGCAGGGGCTGCTCGCGGGGAGGCAGGGTGTGGTGCACCTTCTCTGGGGGCTGCTCATAATGTGTCCGGTCAGGCTTGGTGAGTGCCCACAGCAGCTCCTTGGACCACATGTCGGTGTTCAGGAACTGGACGGACTTGACTGCTATCTGTGAGTAGATGGGCGTGGGCAGGGCTGGAGCAGTCTCCCCGTGAGCTGGGGCCTCCGCCAGCCTCGCCACCTCCTCCTCCCCGCCCCCCACCCCACTTGGAGCCCTAACTGCCTTCTCCTCTTGCTCCCTTCTCTCTTCTGAGAATTTGTGAGACTTGGTTTCTTTCTTCCTTAGCTGTGTGACAGAATTAACCAGGGACATGTCTGAGCCTGGAGTTCCCTTTGTGGGAAGGTGTATAATTATGACTAATTTCTGTGACACAGGACTACTCAGATTTTCTGTTTCTTCTTGTGTCAGTTTGGTAATTTCTGTTTTTTAGGGAATTTTTGTCTGTTCCATCTAACAAATTGCCTAATTTACTGGAATCTGATTTCATTATTACCATGTCATGTATAAAGGATGTGTTGTGATATTCCTTCTTTTTTTGTGATACTGGTGTTTTGCATTTTTTATTTTCTTGATCAGCTTATCAAGAAGCTGATCGCTTTGTCAATCTTTTTTTTGGAATAACCTCCTTTGGATTTTATTCTTTCTCAATAGTTTGTCCCTTTTTAAACTTTCTTTGACATCTACTCTAGTTTTTATTATTTCTTTCCATCTGCTTACTTTGGGTTTAATTTGCTCTTTTTTGATAGCTTCTCAAAATGGAGGTTTAGATAATAGGTTTTATGCCTTTCTTTTTTTCTAATATAGGCATTTAAAAACATAAATTTCTTTCTAAGCATTGCTTGTTGTTGAACTACCAATATCCATATGTTGTGTCCTCATCAATCAGTTAAAAATATTTCTTAAGTCCTGTTGTGATTTTTTTTTTTGGACCCATGGATTACTTAGAAGTGTGCTAATTTCCAAATATTTGGACTTTTTCCAGCTACATTTTTTGCTATTGATTTTTAATTTATGTTCTGGTCAGAGAATGAACTCTGTTTGATTTCAGTCCTTTTATATTTATTGAAACTTTACATATGGCTCAGCAATGGTGTGTTTTGGTGAATGTCCTGTTTACATTTGGAAGGAATGTCGATTGGATCAATTTGTTAATTAGGGTTGTTCAAGTCATGTGCACCCTGAGTGATTTTCTGTCTAATTTTTCTATTAATTACTGGTATTGCTGCTGGTCTTATTTCTACTAGATACCATTTAATTACAACTATTCTGCTGCTGCTACTATACAATGATAATAACAGTTAATGAGGACTTCCTGCGTATCACACGGTGCCAAGCCCTTTCTGTGGATTATCTCCTGTAACTGTCACACATTTGAGCTAGGTACTCGCATCCCCATTTGACAGATGAGGAAACTAAGGCATGGAGAGGCAAGTTGGTCACCCAGTCACATGGCTGTGGTCGGTTGAATTTGGACTTGAACCCAGGTCTGTCAGGGTCCTGCATTCCTTCTCCCAGCCACATCGGCCCTCACATGGTGGGTGGTCAGAGATGGACCCACACGACACCACGGCTCGGCTGTGCAGCTTCAGTCCACCCTGCCCTGCTCCCAGGTCCTCTCTGCCCACTCCGTCGTGGACCCAGCCCCCAGGTTAGGTGGGAAGGGCCTTGTATATGCTGGACACCTGCCCTGTGCCAGGCATCTAGGGGCCAAGGTTCAAATCCCAGCTCTCCCAGGAACCAGCCCCAGGACCGTGTCAGGTCCCCTCCCCTCTGAACGCCTGTTTGCTCACCTGTAAGATGTGGCTGCCCCTCCTAGGGCGGAGCGGGTACCCATCCATGTTGGTTTGCTGCCCTCTCCCCCACCCTGTTGTCCCCCAAAGGCCTGGAAGGCGGGTTCCCTCCCCACCTGGGTCAGCTGCTCTTCCCAGCATGCCTTCTCTCCCTCGCTGAAGAGCTTCTCTGTGGGAGACAGGGGTCCCTGGAGGCCAGGTCTGATGTCCGCAGCCGGGCTGGATCTCAGGCACTATCTTGCCCATCCCTCGGACGCTGTCCTGCCTCTGCCTGTCCCAGCTCCAGGGTGGAAGCGAGCTCAGGGGACTATCAACCATGCTTGAGCTCGGTGTCCAGAGCTGGGCTGGAGTTGTGGCCCTGCTGGCCTTGCGGTGTGACCTCAGGTGCCATATGAGGCTCACCAGTGGTGAACAGAGGGGTCCCTCCGGCATGGCCCTTTGGGATATGCTGGGGTCCGCTCAAGATGGGAAAATACGGGTCAGAGAGGGGGGCATTATGAGATGGGAAACCCAACCTCAGAGGGAGGGACTGCTTTCAAGATGGCCCTGGGGGCCTCAGAGGCCACCCCAGGCATAGAGGATCACCACCCAGCCTGCCAGTCCCAGGGCAGGGGTGCAAAGCCTCGGCCAGCTGGGGCCTGCCTCCTCCCAGGCCTGCGCGTTTAAAGTCTTGAGCATGGCCTCTCCCATTGGCCTCAGGGGCCTCCCCTGCCCAGGGTGGACCACCTGTAGATGGCAGAGTCTGCCACACTTGTGTCCTCTCACTGCCCCCAACCCCTCGCTGATACTGCTGACCAATTCCTCCCTGAGGCCCGGAGGCCCAAACACCATTCCGTCCTTGCACTCCTACTCATCCCTCAAGACATAGCTTAGACTTGGCTGCCTCCTCCGGGAAGCCTTCCCTGATGGCCACCAGGGCAGCCCAGCACCTCCCCAGCTGGGCAGTAGGAGCTCAGCTCATGCTTGTGAGGGAATGAGTGACTAAATGAGCGTTGGCGCTGGCCTCCCAGTAAGGTCCTGATGGCAGGGAGCCTGGTACATGCCAGGGGTTTAGTCAGCTTTGCTGTCTTACATTAGCTCAGCCCTCATCCTGGCGAGACCCCAGCTTACAGTCAGAATGGGACAGTTCAGCAGGACAGCATTACCCTTTCACGGGGGTCCCGACCCAGCCTGGGCTGGTTGAGGGGAGGTGGGCGGTGGGGGGCTTGGTCAGCAGGGGTTGCCCTCTGCTCTGAATGTGCTTCACTGCCCTGCCCCAGCTGTCTCTCTCTCCACCCCGCCATGCTGGCCTGAAGGCAGAGGGTGGCCTGGGATTGCCTCAGGACCCAAGGGCAGGACGTACGGTTAGAGGTCAGGGTGCCCATCACGTAGAGAAGGCTTCTGTGTGGGAAGACGCCCGTCAGGACCTCAGTCTCCAGGTGCTGGGTCACCGTCTGCCACGAATGCCTGCAGATGGCCACCAGCACATTGCTGGCTGCGTTCTGGTACACCTCTTCCAGCTCCTTTTGGTGTGGCGGGAAGAAGCAAACAATAAGAGTGGACACTTGTCCAGAGCTCTGGCACCTCACACATGTGTCTGCTTTGGCAGGCAGGGCAGCTATTGGCAACCCATTCAGTGGACGGAAAACTGAGGCACAGCTGGCTGGTGAAGCTCAGGCTCACCCCGGGGCTCACAGCTTCGTGTGACCCTCAGCATCCTTGGTCCTCACGGTTCCAGAAACCCGCCGTCACTCTCCCTGCTTCTGAGCCTTTGCTCAGGCTGCGGCCCTGCCTGGAACACTGTTCCTACTCGCCCTGTCTGTACAACTTCTGCTTCATTTCTAAAGCTCCCTCTATGGCCTGCACTTGAGAGACACGTCCCGAAGGCTCTAGTCACCGTGTCACCTCTGCTCCCGAGCTCCCGGCAGCTCAGGACAATGTCACGTCCTCTGACTCTTTATCACCATGAATGCAGAATTCAGCTGAGTGCCAGCTGCTTGGGACAGAGGCCCAGCTGGCCGGTCCCCTGGCCAGGCCCAGCCCAGTCTAATGGAGGGGACAACCTCAGGAAGAAAGGAACAGCCGTGCCCTGGAGACTGGCACTGTGTTGCCACCCCCTGCATTTTCTCAACAAGCATGTTGGAATTTCTTTTGATTTTGCTCCGATTTTGGGTTCCTCTCTTCTTTGTTTCTTGGTGGGAGCCACCAGGTGATTTCTGTGACTGTTAGCATGAGGTAGGTGTCACAGGGTCATCACTGGGTGAAAACCGGGGGTCTGCCCTGCAGTTGGTGGCATCTGAAGGTGAAGGGGTCTGTGTGCCCTGTGATGTTTGAATTACCACATGAAATCGCCATGTCATTAATAATTTATTGAAAGTGTGGAGATAAAGGCACTTCCTTAGGATGGTGGACAGAATCTGAATTTCCTCTTTCAAAAAGTGGCTTCAACTAAACTACATTAGGAGAATTTTTAAAAGGACAGCAGCCACCACTTCTGGAAGCGGGAGAGCAGATGGACGAGAGGTCGCTGGGCTGAGCGCTGGGCCAGCAGCAGGATAGGCTGAGAACCAGCCCCGCCCACTACACAGCCTCTCCATTGTTTGGTGGAAAGCTGGGAGGGTTGCATCTCCCGGACCCCTGCAGCTGGCGTGGTGGGGATGGGAGTAAGTGGCTTAAGAAGCCGCCAGGTGCCTGGATGCCCTCCCCACTCGGCACACCTGCAGGGCCCAGCAAGGTCTGGAGGCATGGTGTCTGGAGGACAAGTGACTACAGGTGACTACATGGTGTCTGGAGAGGGCAGCGGGGAAGCCAGGAGCTTCTGTAAATGCAGGAGCTGGTCCCTCGGCAGGCTGGGCCCTCCACAGCGCTGCCCAGGGCCTCAGCCCCCAGGCCAGACGCTGGTCCAGGGTCTTCTCTGGGAAACCTGGATGGCCCAGGAGGAAAGACATAGAGGTGCTGACACGGGGGGTGGGCAGGGGGCAGCAGGCTCATCTCATTATTCCACAATAGACCCCAAATTCTATCAAGCCCATCCGTGTATTCAGAGCCCCATCAACTCCTAAGCACCGCAGACAGCCACGCTGGAGCAGGCCTGGGTCGTGGGAGAGAATAAAACCCACAACCACAAACCTGATGAAACCCAGAGCAAAGCATCTCGGAGGAAACAGAGATAGAAACCTCAAGCAGAACCCGCTTTAATATCCTCTGAGAGATAAGAGGAGATATTGCACCCGTGGATGTATAAACAGCATGATACAAGAGAGGACGATTCCGAGAACAGAATCAAGATCTCCTGAAAGTTAAAGACACGAGGACACGGGTGGGAAGCTGAATTAGAAGGTTCGGAAGATAACAGCGCGTCTGCAGACAACAGAACAAAGGGCAGAGAGATGGAGAAGGATAGGCAGGGTAAAAACGCAAGGACGGGCTGCGTCTGCGGGTTGGGCGTTCCTGGAGCCCAGAGTCACGCAGGGATGTCACCAGCGAGTTAACGTGAGCCATTTTCCAGGAAGAAAGGAGCTAAGCAGCCAGACTGCAGGAACGCAGGACTGCAAACTGGTGGCTAAAAACAGAGCGCGAGCGAGGCACACCACTGTGGAGCCACCAAGCGTGCAGGACAAAGAGAAGATTCCAGAAGCCGGCCAGCAGCAAGACAGCCTGTGGATGAAGGGCCCATGTTCAGAATGGCTCTGGGGCCTGTGCAGCCGCACGGGGCGTGGGCAGGAGGACAATGGGACCACCATCTCTTATGCATAGTCCACGGGGAATACAACAGAGATATTTCCAGGAAAGCCTGGTCTCCAAGTTGTACTTTTCAAGCACGCTTTCTCAGGAAGAGAGAGAGTAAATGGGGAAAGAGGGAAGCTTGGGGTACAGGAGACGGGGTTCCCCAACGGGGGTGAGCCGCGGGAGCCCCGGACTAGGCTTGGACACTGAGATGCAGGAAGATGTGCTCGGCTGCTCTGGACCTGGGTGATGACGTGCCCACTCTCCCTCGCATGTCCTGCTCCAGCTCGTGGTACCCACAGACGTGCTGCCCCAACCCACACTGGAGACGGCCCTCCGCCCTGGCCCGGCCCCGGCCCCGCCTCAGGCTGACCCAGAGCGGCTCTTGTCCACCCTCAGGGGGCTGAAGCCAGGCCACCCCCCAGACACGGGGGAGCCTAGCTGTCCTACAGCCTCGTCCTCCTGGGTCACACCTCCCCCCACCATAGCTCTTTACTGTCATGTAACTGTACACAGATGCACTTTTAAAATACGCCTGGTAGCTCTTTTCCTCCCTGGCTGCTTGAGCGCCTGACGCCATCATGAACGACACAGTAACTATCCGGACCAGGAAGTTCATGACCAATAGACTACTTCAAAGGAAACAAATGGTCATCGATGTCCTTCACCCTGGGAAGGCAACGGTACCTAAGACAGAAATCCGGGAAAAACTAGCCAAAATGTACAAGACCACACCAGATGTCATCTTTGTGTTTGGATTCAGAACCCATTTCGGTGGTGGCAAGACCACTGGCTTTGGCATGATTTATGATTCCTTGGATTACGCCAAGAAAAATGAACCCAAACATAGACTTGCAAGACATGGCCTGTATGAGAAGAAAAAGACCTCAAGAAAACAGCGAAAGGAACGCAAGAACAGAATGAAGAAAGTTAGGGGGACTGCAAAGGCCAATGTTGGTGCTGGCAAAAAGTGAGGTGGAGACTGGATGACAGAAGGAGTAAAGATTCGTCAACGACCTTGTGGTGATTGAGCAGATTTTTCACGAGAGGGCTAATAAACTAAGAACTTTTATGTGAAAAATAAATAAATAAATAAAATAAAATACGCCTGGTATACTTCACGAGGATGAGCTCAATTTTTTTACAAAATTAAAGAAAAAAGAACTTTAAAAAGAAAAGAACGTAGTGGGTCTTAGACCCTGTTCCGTTTTTCTCTGCTCATCACACTAGACTAACGCATGGACATGTTTGTGGGGAGTGTGGGGCCCCGCCGTTTCCCAGCTGGGGGATGACTGCAGGCACATCTCCTAAACACAGCCCCTTGGTTGGTCCCGCCCTCTGTAAATAGGGGTCACAGACACCTGTTGGGGTGTGAAATTATGCCCACTCTCGCTCTGTGGCGTGCCAGGGCTTGGACCCGCAGTGGTGGGCCTGGCGACCGGTCCCCGCTCTCTGACATGAGTAGTCACATGCTTATTGACTAGTTCCCCCTGGAGCTCCACTGGGCTGGTGTTCTGAATAAAACCCACAGGCCCCCAAGCCCTTGGAGGCATAATCAGCTGAGACAGTTGGCCAGTTTGGGGCCGCCTCTGGACTGCAGCCTGTAGAGGGGACGGGGGTGGGGATTCAGGTCTGAAACTGTAAGTGTCCATCAGGCAGCCCCCGAAGGCGGGCGGCCGAGGGCTGAGGTACAGCCTGGGCATGGGTGAGACTGGCCGAGACTTCCAGGGGCTGGGCTGCGGCGAGCAGCGGTGGGAATGGTAAGGAAGGTGGTGGAGAGGGGGTTCCTAAGCCCACCACAGGGCAGGGACCTGTGGGGAACCCACTCACAGGCGCTGAGGCCTGAGCCTCACCCCTCTCATCTGCAGAACAGGTGCATGAGGCTGTCAACCCCTCTGAAGGGGATGGTGGTAAGACAATGAGAAAATGGACAGAAGTCGCGTGGTTAACCACAAGGCCAGGCAGTGCCAGCCTGTGTGGGTCCTGGGGCGGCTGCCTGCCTGCCTTCCCGGGAGCCCTTGGGGGACGGGAACCCACCGTGGACTTGGTCATGTTCTCCAGGGCCAGTTTCATGAAGATTTCCCTCCATCTCTCCTCCAGGGAGTCACTGGCTCCAATGACGGTCTCCAGGGTGTGGAGCAGCTGGAGCTTGTGCTGGTTGGAGATCTGGGGGCGGCAGGGTGGACAGAGGCTGAGGGACAGCAGGGTCTGATCACGTGGGGAGCTCAGTGGGAGCATAGGTGGGGAGAGGGTGAGGACGCCGAGGGGAAGCATCCCAATGGGCTGCGTTTGGCCACTCCTCCGACAACCATTTAGTGAACACCTACTATGCGCAGGCCCTGAACTAGGCTCTGCAGACAGATGAATATAAATTTGTCCCTATCCTCAGGGAACTGCTGTGGGATTTTAAAAGCATTCCATCTGTAAAGCCAGTTCACTTACGTATTCCCTTATTCACTCATTCATTAAACTCAGATCTCCCCCCGATCACCCACCCGTCATTCATCCATCCATCTATCCATCTACCCACCCATCTCTGCCACTTGATGGCTCTGTGACTTTAGGCAAATCACTCCCCTTCCCTAAGCCTCAGCTTCTGCCTCTGTGGGGCTCATCATATCTGTATCATGAGACTGTTCTGAGGTTGGTCAGCACACGTTGGTCAGCACACGTTGGTCCACCTGCCTCCCTGTCCTCAGCTCATTGGACAGCTAAGGACTTTGACTTGCCCCAAGTCATGTAGCTGCTGTATGGAGAAGCCAAGGTGTGAGCCTGCCTTGCGATCCCGCCCCCCGCCCGCTCTGGTCCCCATGCCTCCCCTGAAGGGCCCGAGCAGCTCCCACCTCAGGGTTATCTATAAAGTAGTGATGAATGGCTTCCAGCACCAGGTCGGGGGCCTCATGAGCCATGTCCTTGATCTTGTTGATGATGTACTTCAGGTGGTAGGGGTCTACACCGTTCAGGTCTCGGAGCATCTTGAAGCAGATGGCTAAAGCAGGCGGCAAGAAGGTGTGAGGGTGGGTGGGCTGTGGGAACGTCCCATTGTGCCGCAGGGCTGGTTGGCCAGGGAGGGGTAGGGCTCAGGTAAATGAGGACTGGGGAACTGAACCTATTGGGAAACCCTGGGCCTCCTGACTGTCCAGTCTCTCTGGGCTTCCAGATAGGAGAAGGAGCAAGAATGCGTGCAGATCTGCACACCCTTATTCACCCATATTTCCACCCATTCTTTTTTTTTTTTTTAATTGGGGAATTGGGGGGATGGGAACAGTGCTGGGGAATTGGGGGAAGGGGAACAGACAAGTTGCTGTCGTTTTGTTCTTCAATCTAGTTGTGGAGGATGTTGCTTCACTGGCCCAAGTTGGCACCATCATTGCGCTCTTCTCTGGCGAGGCAGATCAGTCGCCGGCTTCTGGACGGCCGCTCACTGCGGCTGCTGGCCGCTCACGCTGTCTGCTGGCTACACACGGTAGCCCATGGCAACCCATTGCCACAGGGAGTGCAGCCTATGCCGTCGCCGGCGACTCATGGCAGCCCAGCTCCAGGTTGAGCTGTTGTTCAGCATCTTAGCTGTGGAGGGCAGTGTCACTGGCCCTCATATGTGGGATCCGAACCGGGGCCCTCTGGCATCCCAAGCGAGTTCTTAACCATCGCGCCACTCAGCCGGCCCTTTCCACCCATTCTTGATTCAACCACCTTTTCATCCATCCATTTATCTGTTCATCTATCACCCACCTATCCACTGATCCATCTGTCCATCTACCTATGCATTCATACATATGTCTGGTTGTTCATCAGTCCATCCATCCACTTGTCTATCCTTACTCTCATCCACCAACCCAACCATTAATACATTTATCCACCCACGCACCCATAGATCCATGTATCCATCCACCCACCATCCATCTGTCGATACATCTACCGATTCATCCATAAACTCATCTATCCACTCATCTAACCCACTATTCATCATTTTTAAGTTCATCCATACATTCATCCATTCATAAGTTAATTGTACATCCCTCTATCTCTCCATCTGTCCCTTCCTTCATCCCCTCACCCTCCATCCCGTCATCCAGCGGTCAATGATGGTTTCTCTGGGTGGGCAGAGGGCGGTGTGTAGGGGCTCGAAGAGGAGCCGGGGCCCCGCTCTGTTCTGAAGGAGGGGAGGGGAGGCCTCCCTGCCCAGCATCAGTGGACTTTGTTCTGTGGGGTAGTTGTATGAAAGGCCCTGGGCACACAGAGAGGGCAGGGGCAATCAATCCTGACTGATTGGAGAAACAGGACTGGCTTCTCCGAGGAGGTGGAAACTTGCCTAGAAGGATGTGGGCAAGTGACCCTTTGAACGAGAGGAAAAGCCTTCCATTGAGCGCCTGGCCTACGAAGAGGCTCTAAAGTGTGACAGGTGTGGGACGAGGGTGGAGGTGAGGTGTGAGAGAGGGTATTTTTTGGGCTTTGGATGGTGCCTTGGAGGCATAAAGGGGCTCTGCTGAAAGCGGCACTGTGTCCATCCCCCTGCCATCCCCCAGGTCCTGCAAGGTGGACGTCCCCGGCCCTCATCCCCAGGGCTTCTTGCGTGGAGGAACATGGTGTGCTGGAGCCTGAGTTCAGGGCTGGTGGTCACCTGCGTTGGAGGCTTCCTTCAGGAACACGCTGTGCTCCTGGGGCCCCAGGGCAGCCTGGCTGATATGCGACTTGCTCAGCAGGGTGGTTGTGGGGTGTGCCGGTCTGTCCCTGTGGGCAGAGTTCTGAGGTACCTTCCTGCAAGACAGGTCCTTCATGGATTCGGAGGTGTGGGAGGAGATTCTGAAATGGAAAAGGGGTCCTGGGTGTGCGTTCATGGCTGTGAGTGCCATGGACACCGAGGGCCGCCGTGGTCTGGGTCAGGCATAGCCACATCTTCCCATGTGCCCACCCTTACGTTCAGCGGACTGGCTGAGCCCTGGGAGGAAGGCAGGGGTCTCACGGCCTCAGGGACACTGCTGCGTAGGCAGCATTGCCCGTGGGACTTCCCAGCAGGTGTTGGTGGGACAGGCATGGCTGGTAGGACGTGGAGGGTTCAGGGCACAGCATCCCCAGCTCTAGCTCTTGTGCCGACTTGGAGAGGGAGCCAGTCTTTTTAGGATCCCACGAGACTGCCCTGGCTACCCACACATCGCTGGTGGGGTGCTGGAGGGTCCGAGAGCCTCAGGAGCAGGTGGGGGCGGCAGCCATGAAGCTGGGTGTGCTGTACCAGCCCCGTCTGTGCCCCAGGTCCCGCCACCCTGGTGCTTCGGGGTGTTTGAGTTTGTGACAGACATTGAGGAGAAATGTGTGACAAGAGGAAGGAAGAATATGTGTCCCTGAAAGCGGGTTTGTGCCCTCCCCTCCTCTCCTTCCTTCCTTTCTACTTCCTCTTCCCTTCCTCTCCTGCTAGTGTGAAGACAGGATTCTCTCCAACTGTGTTCGTTGCCATAAGGGCCCCCAAAAGAAAGCATCCTTTATTTTGGGGGTGCTGCCCAAGCCTGGCCCTCCCATTGCTCCCTTCAGGGGAGCCTCCGTGGCAGGAGTGGGTTTTTTCTCCACCTGCATCATGACCTCATTCCTTTTACACTCACTCCCACTTCCCCACTGCCTGCCACAGGTGAGATGTGCTCCCTGTAAGCTCTGGGGAGAGAGCAGGGAGCAAGGTGAACAACAAAACCAACAGCAAATCCAGAAAGCGCGTTGTGTGGCGTGTTAGGAGGAGGTCCACCTCGACACTGTATCCGTTTATCTGCTCCACCATGTATGAAATGTGTCAGACCACGTCGTTCAAAATCCTCTTGAGGTTCCCATACAAAAAAAAGGCTCTTAGAACTAAAAAGCGAGTTCAGCAAATTTGCAAATATAAAGTCACTATGCAAAAAATCAGTCATATTTCTAGATACTAGCAATGAATAATTGGGAGATGAAATAAAAAGTTACCCTATACAATGGCACCAAAGATCGTGAGATATTTAGGTATAAATCTAACCAATAATTGCAAGATCTATATACTGTAAAGTACAAAATAATAATGAAAGAAATTAAGAGGACTTGATAAGTGGAGACATGTACCATGTTCATGGACTGGAAAACTCAATAGTCTTAAGATATCACTTTTCTCTAAATGTATCTAAATATTTCATACAATTCCAATAAAAATCCCAGCAGATTTTTTTTTGTAGTAACCAACAAGTGGTTTCCAATTTATATGGAAAAATATAGGAACTAAGATAGTCAAACAATTTTGAGGCAGAACAAAAGTAGAGGAGCGACATTACTTTTTTCAAGGTTTATTATAAAGCTTTAGTAATCAAAACAATATGGTATTGATGAAAGTGTAGACGTATAAATTAATGGAACAAAGCATATAAGGCCAATTGATACTTGATGAAGGTGCAAAAGCAATTTGATTAAGAAAAGATAAACTATTGGTACTGTAATTATTGGATATATGGGTGCAATAAAACCCCCCATTTATGTCTTGAACTATGTACAAAAAACTCAAAAATAGACCATTAGACCTAACAGTAAAACTTAAAATTCTAAAACTTCTAGAAGAAAAGGTAGAAGAAAATCTTTGTGACCTTGGGTTAGACAAAGATTTCTGAGCCATGACACCAAAAGCACGATTCATAAAAGAAAAAAATGATAACTTGGGTTTTATCAGAATAAAAAACTTCTGCTTTTGAAAGATATCTGTAAAAAATGAAAAGATGAGCTGCAGACTTGGAGGAAACACTTGCAAATCACATATCTGATGGAGGACTATGTGCAGGATATATGAAGGACGCAAGACTAAATGAAACAAAAACACAAGCAACGCAACAAAATATGGGCAAGAGATTTGAACAGACGTTCCACCAAAGGAGGTAAACAGGCGGCAAATAAGCACGTAAAAAGTGCTTGACATCGTTCTGCACGAGGGATGCAAATGAAAGCCACAGCTGGGACGTCATGACACACGGACTAGAAGGGAATCAATCAGGAAGCTGGAAAACGCCAGGTACTGCTGAGGTTGCAGGGGACCTGCACATCTCACACGCAGCTGGTGGGAATGCAAAATGGGACAGCTCATGTGGAAGGTAGCTTGGTACTTTCTTAGACAAGTAAACATTTACCGCCGAACCAGCTCTTCTATGCCCAGGCGTGTGCGCTACTGCAGTGACAACTTACGTTTACACAACAATCTGTACACGAATGTTTATGGCGGCTCTGTTTGTAATAGGCCCAAATGGAACACGTCCAAATGACCTTAAGCTGGTGAATGCATCAACTGTGTTACAACCACAGAAATGCTGCTCGGCGACAACAAGAAATGAATTGCCATAAATGCAACCACATGGGCGATTCGCCAATGCATTATGCTGGGTGGGAGAAACCAGACGCCCAAAGCCACACAGTGCCTGGGGCAGAATCATTCCTTCCTGCTGTCATTCCTTCAGTGGGTGTTTATAAAATGCCTACTGTGTGCCAGGCACGGCTCCAGGCCCCGGGGATTCATCAGTGAACAGGACACACAGAAACCTCTTCCCTTGTGGCACTCACATTCTTGGGGGACAGACACGATGGACAGATAAGAAGCTATGTACTTGTGTCAGCTGGGGACAGTGACATGGAGGAAAACCAAGCAGGGACGAGGACTGGATAAGCTATGGGGGTCAATTCTGAATGGCCTGGTGCGGGGAGGATTGGCTGAAGGTGTGCCCAGTGTGTGTGTTGGATAACTGAAAACATGAAGGAGTGACGAATGAATGAAGGCATTCTGGGAATAGGGCAGCTCCCTTGAGCCAAGCACACCTTCCTGCCGGAGAGCAATGGGCACCTCCCTTCCTGTCACCTTGTCTCCACTGCCACCAGTGAGGGTGGCCACATGTTGGGTGACTGATCCCACCCATGCTGTCCTCACACCAACCTCACAAGGTGGCATGACACAGAGAGGCTCCCTGACCCATTCCGGGATGCACAATCTCTGCAGGACAGTGCCGGTTCAGACCTGGGCCCCGACCTCAAAGCCTGCATCCTGGAAGCTTGACTTTTCACACAAAGCCTGGGTGGTGCCACCTCTGTGGGCATCTCACACAAGGACGGAGCCTTGCCTCCCTCTGTCCCCAGGAGGGGGGTCGGGCCAGTCGGCGTTGGCTACGGGCAAGACTGAGACCCGTTACCTCACTCCAAGCCCCTATCTTAGCCCTGCCATGACCAAAATTGAATGTATTTTTAAATACATAAAAACGATAGGCACACAGTTAGGCAAGCAGCTGCAGACTGGAGGGTGTTCTCACCATAGAAGCCATCCAAGATGTGGCAGAGGAGGAGGGAGGTCTGACAGCTCATGTGGAAACAGCGGCGTGCAGACCAAAATAACGGAATTCAAAGGCAGGCACAGAGTTGCTTCCTGGAACGGACCGCAGGCAGGGATCACAAGCCATTAGCTCTGGAACCATCCAGGCGTAGCCGGGCCTCCCTGTGCCCTCACGGAGGGCACCCACCAGCCTGGGAGTCCCAGGAGGCAGGGGAGAGAGCCTGCCAGCCAGCCAGGATGGTGGAGCTGCCTCTAGTGCCCGCTCAGGATGCCGGGGACACTGGGGTCCAAAGGCTCTAGATCAGCGGTTCTCAACCTTCCTGATGCCGCGACCCCTTAATACAGTTCCTCATGTTGTGGTGACCCCCAACCATAAACTTATTTTCGTTGCTACTCTATAACTGTAATTTTGCTACTGTTATGAATCATAATGTAAATAGCTTTTTGTTTTCCGATGGTCTTAGGCGACTCCTGTGAAAGGGTCGTTCGACCTCCAAAGGGGTCGCGACCCACAGGTTGAGAACCGCTGCTGTGGAGAAACCTTCCTTGAAAAAGAAGCTGAGGCTCAGGGAAGCAGGCAGACTGTCTGTCCATCCATCTATCTGTCCACTCATTTACACATCGGGCGAATGTGGATGTGGACGGACTTGGCTAGCGACACCGCTGGGCCTCACAGCCCACAGAGCCTTCCTTTGAATTCAGGTTCCCCCGTTCCCGGCCACCCCTCCACATCCCAAGGACTGCAGTGGGGGCCCAACCCCACCTCCCTCCCCGGGGGCTCCTGGCTGCAGTGTTCCTCCTCTTTGGCTCAGGACCTGGGTGTCAGACCCTGCTCCCCACAGAGAGAGGGAGAGGCCAGGCACCCATGAGAAGCAGGGCTTCGGGGTCCCCTCCTGGGCTCCCACACACCCTGGCCTGGCACTGGGCTGACCTGGGGTTCTGGGACATGGCGGATGACGCCCTATCAGCTGTGGTGTGGCTGCGTGGAGTTTCCAAATGCTGCCCATCCATGTTGGGGTGTGGATTGGAGAACTCACAGGCGCCGGCCGCTAGCCCTGTCCTCACGCCCAGTGGGGCAGCCCGATCTCTGGGCAGCCCCTGCCCCGCCCCACCAGCCCTGACCTCACCCCTGAGGTCACAATGGCTCTAGTGTCCATGGCACCTTTCCAGGGACAGTGTTGTAGAACCAGACACTGTGTTTGCGGCATAGCATAGAGGTGTGTGTGAGAGTGTGTGTGTGTGTGTGTGTGTGTGTGTGTGAGTGTATGTGTGTGTGTGAGTGCGTGTGTGTGTGAGTGTGTGAGTGTGTGTGCATGTGCATGCGTACTTGTGTTCCCAGCGTGGTCCTTCTGTCTCTGGTTCTCAGCTGTCCCCTGTAAGACCCACGGACCCAGCTTCAGCCACCACCTTGACTGCAGCCTGTGAGACCCTGAGACAGAAGACCCAGCTAGACTGGGATTCCTGGCCCAAGAAACTGTAAAATGGGTGATGTTTTAAGCACTAAGTTTTGGGGTCCTTGGTTACACAGCAGTAGATAACTATACATGTTCCACATCAGGAAAAAGTGGCAGAGTCCGAATCGTGTGTGACTTCCCCTCACACTGGGCCATGGTCCAGATGCACGGCTGCAGAGGGGAGCTGTGTCCAGCAGGCAGGTCACTCTGGAACGGAAGGGCCTGCACATACGAACCCCGTCTGCCTGGAAGCCCCGGCCCCCTGGAGCTCTCCCACCCTCCCAGCACCACAGAGGGGGCTGTAAAAAGCTGAGTCCATAAATCCACTCATGGAGGAGGGTCCCTGGGAGGCCTGATCCTGCAAAGCTGCTGGAAAAGGCGTTTGGGGGCACCTCTTCCCTGGGAACGTCCCCCCGGGGCTCTGGGCGTGCTCCTGGCGGTCATTTTGCCTGGTGGCTTCGGCCAGTGGTGTGCTGGAGTCACCCAGCCGGCTTGGTGACCCGTCCTTAAGTTTCCAGCAATTTTGAGAGCTGGTTGTTAACTGCAGCCATAGAAGCTTGCAGTTAAATGGATTATATTAAAACCAGGTAATAAATGCTCCACACTCACGACTTTGGATTATTTGTATTTCGCGTTACCTGTGCCCTAGAGGTTATTTATAACGACGCATACACGTATATGCGGTGAGCTACTGCGCATGTCTGCTGGCCTCCATGTGCGGGGCCGTTACACTGGGAGCGGGCAGTCAGCTGCGGTGGGACGTTTGCAGCATGGAAACGGGCAGCGCTACAAGTCGGGGCCTTTGTTTTTTTTTTGAGCTCTCCTCTCTAAATGTTTGCCAGGCTGGTTGGGCAAGGTGGGCCAGCCAGGTCTCCTCCCGTGGGAATCTGGAATTGGGGCCAAGAGTGAGGCCTTGGGGTAGGGAGTGAGGTCCCCTCCTTAGGACTCCAGGTAGAAGGGAAGTGAGAGCGGAGGAGGAGAGAGAGGCTGAGGACCGAGGGGGCCGAGCCCTGGGGGCGTCAGAGGTCCTGGCCCAGACCTCCCAGGCCCCCTTTGGCCTTGTGGGTTCCTGGAATGTCCTAGAAAATTCACACCTGGATTATGGTGAGCCAGGTTTTCTGTAACGTCTTTCCCCAAGTCCTGGCCGGCCAAACAAACAGGCTGCTTTGGAGGCGGTGCGCCCCTTTCTCTGCAGGGTGCTGGGGGATTTGAGCATCACAGCAGGTGGCCGGGGTGGGTGACCCTTCTCTGTCAGGGGTTTCCAGGCAAACCCACCTTGGCCCCAGGACACGGGGAGGGACGCCTGTTGAGACCTGGGATCTGACCCCGTGTACTCCCTCCTACCTCTTCACTGCATTTGCAAATGGTCACGTCTCCCCATCAGCCTCTCAAGAATTAGAAAGCACTGTCAGCACCAAGGGGATACCTGTGCTGGAGAGGGGCTCCCAGCCTAGGGGCCACTTCTCACAGCAGCCTGGGAGCCTGGTGTGCTCACCACCCTGAGCCCTGGCACTGGGGTGACGCTCAGAGAGGGTCAGGAACTGGCTGGAGGTCACACAGCAGTCAGCGGTGGAGCCAGGTTCAAACCCATGGTCTCCAGTACCAGTCCAGGGTAAGGACGAGGTCCTTGGACTACTTCACACCTGACCCCCAGAGTGCCAGCTCCTCCCCAGGGTGCCGATTCGCCCCCATAGTGTGAGCCCAGGGGGCCCAGGCATGCCCGCCCGCACCTCCCCTCAATGCCGGCAGATGGCGCCATGGGCCCAGGCAGGACTCCTGGCAGGGGATGCCTCGGGGAGGATGGAGGAGGGGTTCAGTGACATGGTCTCCCCCACACCACAGCCCTCCTGAGCCCAGAACGGCAGGTCAGGGTGTATGTGGGGAGGGGACTTTGAAATCCCACCACCCAGGGGTGGACCTGGAGGTGCGGACACTGCTGCCACTGGGAGGCTGCCGCTATGGGAGAGCTGCAGCTTGCTCCCACCTCTGTGCCTTTCACAGGCCGTTCCCCCCCTGGGTTCCCTCCAGCTCCAGCTGCAGCTGGGGACCATAAAAGAGGCTGCTATTACCGCCGCTAAGAGGAGGGGGCCTGACTCAACCGGCAGCCCAGCCCCTGCCCCGCTGCCGAGCCCCCTCTCCCCTTCTGTCCCCTCCGACTCCTCCCTCTAGAACTTGGCAGCCTGTTCCAGCCCCAGTCCCCCTCCAGCACTTCCTTTCAGGGAGTCACTCTTCTCTCTGGGCCTCCCGTGGGGTGGCAGTGACAGGCCCACGTGGTCTCTGGCCCCTGGGATCAGCCCTGGTCCTGCCAGCCCACCCTGCTCTGCCCTCGCGTGCAGTCTTCGTAGGCTGGAGCCCGTCATTATCCCAGGCAGCTTTTGCTGAGGGCGCTGGCCAGGCCTGTGCACCTCCCTCGACCCTCAGCCCTGTTGGCCCTTGGCTCACGGCCGGGGTCTCCCCACTGGACACTGCACCCCATGAAGGTGGAGACCCAGGTTTCCTTCCCTGCTAGGAGAAAGAAGCAGACGAGCCCTTTCTTGGGGCTGCCCACGGTGGGGTACCCCTGAGGCCCCAAGTAGGTGCACTGCCCAGGGATTCCTCCACATCCCTCTCCTAATCTTTCACAGAAAAAAGAGGCTCCCAGAGATGGCCACCTGCCCGATGACACCCTGGACGGGCCTCCTTCTGTGTCCCTGTGACGTCTTGTCCTCCCATCATTGCCTGAGGGTCTGGTGGTAGGCTGCGTAATGCCGCCTGTCCCCCAAAAGTATGCATGTTCGAATCCCTAGAACCTGTCGTTTTACCTTAGATGGCGGAAAGGACTCTGTGGCTGGGATTAAGTCCAGGATCTTCAGATGGGACGAATACCCTGGGCTCTCCAGGTGGTCCCTGAACGCCATCCTATGAAACTCCGTCAGAGGGAGGTGGGGGGGCGGGGGGGGGTTCTGACGCCGACAGAAGAGGAGGAGCTGGTGAGCACGACGAGCACATAGTTCCCTACTGTTCACCCTGCTGTGTGGGCCTGAAGCAAGGCTCTCCCTTCCCAACAATGTCATGTGCTTCATTTGGGGGGAAGTGGTTTTTTTTTTCTTTTTCTTTTCTCTTTATTTTTTAAAGATTTTATTGGGGAATTGGGGAAGAGGAACAGCCAAGTTGTTGTCCTTCGATCTTAGTTGTGGAGGGTGCAGCTAGCTCAGCTCCAAGTCCAGTCGCGCTGCTCAGCTCAAGGTGCTGTGTTCAATCTTAGTTGCGGGTGGGCGTAGCCATGATCCCATGTGGGAGTTGAACCAGCATCCTTGTTGTTAAGAGCACACTCTCTATCCCCTGAGCCACCCGGGCTCAGCTCAAGGTGCCGAGTTCAATCTTTAGTCGCAGGTGGGAGTAGCCCATCATCTCAAACAGGCAACCTTGTTAAGAGCATGCACTCTCACCAGCTGAGCCATCCTGCCACCTGTTGGCAGCTCAGCAGCAGCTCAGCTTGGGCACAGCTCACTGGCCCATGTGGGAATCAAACCGGAGACCAGCTGCTCAGAGCTCACGCTCTTAAGCAAGCTCCTAACCAACTGAGCCACTCGGCCAGCTCAGAGGGAGTGGGATTTCTGCCCTACCACCTGGGCTGGGCTGGTAAGATATGGGCTCCCACCCATATCAGGGACTATGGAGCTGTTGCGACTGGGCTGCTGATGGCCCTGGACCCTGGAATACTCGTGGGATGGGATGGCTGCAGTCAGGAAGGGTGGCCAGCCTCTGCTGGATCATGGCCTCCGTGCCCACCTGTGAGCTGTTATCGGACGGGTAGACACCAGAGAGTGACCTAAGCCAAGGAGAAAGCTCATGGGGACGGGTGGGGATGGGCGGAGGCCTTTGAGTGCCAGGGTGGGGTTGGGATGGTTCCAGAAAAGGGTCAGGTGAGCTGCAGGGGTGCCGGGGAGGGGCCACTGTGCCTCCCAGCCCAGCCCACTTCCAGGTGGGGCCCCTTTAAATGCAAGGTTCTCTCCCTAGGAGGCCCCTCCCTCCATCTCCTAGGCAGCCAGGTAAACAAGCTTGACCCCAGGCTGCTGACATGGCTTCCCCCTGTTCTGCGGACCACAACCCCGCAGGTCTGGCCCCTCCACCTGTAGCTACTCCAGGTGAGACACATGGTAGGGGGGAGGGATGGAGGAGAAGGGGGTATCTGTGGCATTCGGGACTCTGAGAATGTGGGAGAAGCAGCAGTCACCCCACCACCTCTTCCTGGAGTGGGGCTCAGCCAAGGTCATACAGCAGGACAGGGCTGGGGTGGGGCATGGGCCCCAGGCCCTAACAGTCCCTTCTTTTTGCTTTCCTCGAGGACTAGCTGCCCAGCCGCTCTCCCGGGGGTCCTGCAGCCCTTGCACCCCTGAGCTTGGAGGTGGGGCAGGGTCCTCCTTACTCCTCAGGGCTCTTTCCAGATCATTCTCTGACCCCCCCCCCTTCCCATCTCCAACCATCTCCCTAAGATCCCACTGCTGGATCCCAAATCCTCAGAAATACACACCCACTGCTTCTACTGGGGAGGAGCAGCCGGCCACCCCAGCCCGA